TGGCAAGGGGTCGACACACGAGCGGGTGTGCAGTTTGTTTTGGAGATATCGACGGATACGATACGAGGCGGTAACGCGCTGAATACAAATCGCACCACTCAAAAAGACCCGATACTCGCCCGACCTCTTCGCCGACGTGCTCGCTTTCGTGTCTCTCTTTGCCTCCCCTCTGCTTTTCCCGGCTCTTATCCCAGGGGTGGAACGTACCTGCGCGAAGAAATTCCTCTTCTGAATAATGCATCTCTCGAGCTCGGACCTCCGAACCGTCACTAATTAGCTCCCGCGAGAAGCTTTCAACCCTGGAATGGAAAACGTATTAATTTCTTCATCGAACAGATGCCTCGCGAAGAAAGAGGAAGTACCTGTTCTCCAGTTGGAGAATTTGCACCTTGTTGCAGTCATTAAACTCGGTACGGCGCAAAGGGATCCGCGAAGAATCTCCCTAGCTGAAATTCTTGAATCGTCAATAATTAAAAAATGTATAACTTACCCATCGAGCAGATTTCTTGCGCAGGAGGAAAAAATACCTGTCCTCCATCCGTCCTATTCGCACCTTTCTTCAGTCATCGGGCATCATTAAGGCGATGTGAAAGTGACGTCAAAGAAGTCTCATTTATGAAACTTTTCATCGAACAGGGTGTACCGAATCGTTCCAAACTTGAGAATATGAACATGAAGGCTATAAGGAAGGTCCTGACTCTCATGAAATCTCAATTTTTTAACAATTTGTTCATAGACAATTTCAGGATTTTTTATAAAAACTGAAAATTTCACGAGTGTCAGGACCTTCCTTGTAGTCACGATGTTCATATTATAAGGATTGAAGCAATTCGGTATACCCAGTTCGATGAAAAGTTTCATGAAACGATTGGCTCCTCAGATGCCACTTTCACATCCCCTTAAGACACAAAGGGATCCTTGCAGCATTTCGGAGTGTCCGCATCAGACTCGAAAAACCATTGAGCTTTTTGGTCAACCTGGAAAGGGGAACCCGACAATTAGTCGCGGTCGCGGGGCTCGTGCAATCGTTTCACCGGCTCTATGGAGAGGATCGACCTGGCTGTTATCGTCGTTCGGTCGTGGAGCAGAGCCAGGCGAGTCGAGCCATCGAGAGATCTCCGGTTGAGCTCTGGTATCGACGCGACGTGTCTCTTAGCCCGGGGCCGTCTCGTGAACCCGGCGTCTGCACGGTACAGGATTTATTTGTCGGATTACATCCTCCTGATAAGCGAAAACAAAATAGAAAAAAGACCCTCCGCTCCTCTTCCCTCCGGCTCCGATCTATTTGCCGAGCTTTCATCCGTCGGCGGTCCAGCCGGATTGATAGAAACGGATTGCGGGACTCTCTCGTGGAACGGCTAACCAGATAACAAAGCTATTCGGTCAAAGGGAGGAAGAGGAGGGCCGAGGGTCGCCTCGTAAGAGCCGACTCGATCGACCGGCAAGAAATATCGAAGTCACTCGATGGAAAACGCGATATCCCTCGGAATGGCTGCCAACGTGGGGAATATTGCCTACTTTTTCGACCAGGCTAAACCCGACGTGTTCCTTGAAAGTGGGACGTCTAAACCCTCGGCCGATGCTGGGTCCTTCGAAAAAACTAGTAAGATCCTTGGCGTACGGAATTTTTAAAAATTGTAATAATTAGTAGAAAGGGTTTATCGATCATTTTCAGGGACGTGGGGACACGGCACGAGCCAGAAATAAATTTTAATCGATCTTTTAGGTCGGGTGTCATCTGTGAAATTGACGTGGTCCTTCCAAATGGGACGCCTAAACTGTTCCTTGGCATGTTCCCTGGTGTACGAGATTTTTAAAAAATTGTAACAATTAGTAGAAACGGTCCATAGATCATTTTCAAGGACGTGGGGGCCTGACATGAGCCAGGAAGAAATTATAAACGATTTTGTTTATGGCGGATATCACCTGCGAGCTCGAGAAGAACCTCGGCAGGGGGCGAGATCGAAAAGGGTTCGGAGCGAAACTGGGAAGGTATAAAGGAAAAGTGTATACCCAATTTACAGGATCGTCCAGAGGAAACGATGCCGGCCGATACAACCGTCAATCCTCGGGACCCTTCCCGACTTGGGTCCCCTGCGAATTCCCCTTTCTCAGCGTCCAGAGGAGGAAAACCCAGGAAATACAAAGAGACCGAGCCGCTATCCATCAGCGCGGACAAGCCCATGGAAAGGCACGACAATATCCAATCATGGCTGCGTCATATTTTACACACGAGCCCCAACCCTCTACCAGGACCAGGGATATTTCCATTCCGACTTTGGGCGAGAAATCCGAATTTTTCCCGGTCATTCCTAAAGAACCGTGGATAATGACCAAAGAGGTGCAACCGAGGGGACATTCACTCGGGAATCAGAGGAAACGATTTCCACGTAATTTCGAGCATTAAAATCCACGATTTCATGAGGGAATAATTTCTCGGGTGCGACTTAATCTAGAGCTTACCTCTGATGGTACCAGCTCTTCCAGTCCAGCTTCTGAACTACGGTAACTTCGATGGTCGTGGCAAGGATAAGACCTGTCCTGGTATCGATACCGAGGCCTCTACCAACCTCCTCGGCGCCTTACCTTGCTAAACTTTGCCTTTCCCCAACCGAACCAGCTACTACTACTAATCAACTACCACACATTCTCCGTCCTTGCCCGAAGAACGATCGAAGCGATTGGAAATCCCCCATGAAGAAGCATCCGATCCCTGGTCCAACTCCGAAAGTACGTTCAGGACGCTCGAGGGATTTTCTATTATTTTATATATCATTAATTTTTTGTACAATTGGTTTCAGGACGGATCCGGGAAACGAGTACAGACGAAAAGTCTCGCATAAGTGTGTACACTCGCAGCGGGTTAGAATTACACCGACGGTCTGTCCTCTGTGTCGCTCCTTGAGTCGCTACTTGAGTTACTCGACCTACATGAACTAACCGTAGAAGCTCTTGCTGGTCGCCCATGCCACGACCCTCGCTCACCGACAGATTTTATTACCCAATGTCGCAATGACACCAATTATTAACTTACATCGTTATTGCCTAATCTAAGAACGGCCGACGACGTATTGGTTTCACTTTCCTCCTACCTTCGTGCCTTGACAGTCTCGAAGGTGTCGAGTTACCCGGCCCAGTTGGCAAATCATGTGGACAGGGTGTTCCTCGACTGGGAATTTGGTCAATTTTTCTTAATTAGTGTTTTCCCCCATTTAAATAAAAATCAAGTAAATTAAAAAATCCAAGGATGTCACCTATAGCCGTGACTTTATCATGAAATAATTGCTAGGGAGGACGGTCGCTCTCTTTACTTAGACCTTTGAAAGTCTCCAGAGTTTTTCGGAAAAAACGATTGAAAAAATCCAAGAATGCTCCTTTATAAATGTGCATCGATGAATCGTGAGATAATTGCAAAAGGACGGTCGATGTCTCAAGGGACGAGCTCCGTCGAAAATCTAGAAGTCGAAAAGTTCCGTCGAAACGACTCGCTCGGTAGTTCGCTGACGTTTATTTTTGTGCCGAGATAATTATGTCACTCTTTATCGGAAAGCGATAGGCGAGGGTTCGGAGTAGGAGACATAATCAGCAGTAAATTTCCCGTAATTTCCGGTTAAATCAAAGCCCGGGAAGTTCGGAGCGCGATCTCCGGCGATTTCGAGGCCCCCCCTGGAGCATCGATTCCGCGTTTGATTGGAGCTAATACCGATAATGCGGGAAGTTTAAATTAAATCTACATTAGGTGCCTATCTCCGTTCGATTCTTTACAGCCGGCGATTTCCTTCCCTCCTAATCGGCGTTAAGGCGTTCGATTTCCCTCGTTCCGGAAACTTCGCATCCCCTGCGGAACTTGCCAAATGAATGCCACCGCTTGCTTCCGCTTGCGAGCCACTAATGTTAACTATTACTAAAAGAAATTCCGGAAAACCTCATTTATCCTGGCAGTCGGGAATACAATAACCGCCTTTTCCTTATCGCGGTGGATTTCAAAGGGGCCGGAGGAAGATAAAGCGCCACGGAAAGGTCGATTTATCCTTTCCCGGAGATAACGTAACACTTAGGAGGAAAGTTTCCCCCGAATTTCGCGGCATTATTCTTTGCCTTCCCGGTCCGTTTTCCCGGGAAAAGGCGGAGGAATGGAAATCGAGGGTTCCTTTGGTAGCGGGTCTCGATCTCGCCTACAGGGCCGCTCGAATTCTGTCTTTTAACGCGAGATTTATCGCAGGGAACCTATTCTTCGAGGGGACCGGCTGGGGAAGATCGCTCGCTCATTTGGGCGGTGGAAGCACCTATGGGACCGGATTGATTTAACCGATAGTCGAGGCAGTTTCCTCGATCGTTTTATTATACGGAAGTCCGCGAATCGATGGAAGCCGAGACACGTCTCTTCGCCGATTTTCCACAAGCGATCCCTGTCCTTGATTCTCTCCGCGAACCTCTATCCCTCGTAAAAAATCCAAGGGAAGGGTTATTCGCTCATGAAATCGGATTTTGATGCTGGAGTTTACATGACTATCACCTATAAATCGTTAGAAACTACCGAAATATTGTGACAATTTTAAAGGCCGATCCTCAATTGCTACCAAATAAGATTTTTATTTATCGTGTGGAATTGAAAGCAATCGGTTCTGAAAGAGGGAAATCGTTTTTCTGATTTCCGAGGGAATAGTCCCTCGGGTGTAAGCAAGATTCGCCATGATCTACGATAGTTAATAAGTCGACGGATGACGTGTACGATTTTGTAAGAGCGAAGGTGTTGCCTTAAAATCGCCTCTGATTTCATCTAAGGAGGTTAAGTGAAGGTGCAGTGGTGATAATATTTTTATGTCACGTGTATTCGGATACATTTTCTTTCGAACGGCGGTCTCGCAAGTCGGTGTCGACGATATCACAGAGGCTAAAGCCGAGAGAGGGGCTGCTGAGCAACGAATCGGTATAAATTCTGCCGATCCGAGCATCGAAGTCACAGTCCTCCCAGCGACTTTGAAAACCCAGTCATCGACATGATCTGCAAAGTAAACCGCCATACGCAATAGTAGTCGAAGAAAACGATCGCCAAAAAAAATTGAAAATTCGCGATTTTCTTCCAATGACTCGATACACGCTAATCGTTAATATTCTAATTTTCTTTTTCCAGTTGTTCGTTTTCGCCGGTCTCCTGGCCGTGGCTCGTGCCGGAGTAGTAAGTGGAGGATTGGTCGGACCTGCAACGGCTGCAGTTGCAGTTGCACAGCCAACTGCAGTTCTCAGAACCGAGAGCTACGACCCAAACCCTCAGTACAGCTTCAGCTACAGCGTCGCTGACGGACTCACTGGTAAATCCGTAAAAAATTCAGGAGACCTGAAATTGAAACCATGAAAGATTAATTTTATTAGTCGAGGCGTCATTAACAAGTGGGATTACTTAATAGCTCTCAGGAAAGCCATAGGGAAAGCGTAGAGAAGCAGAAGCAGCAGGGCCTCCCGTTACATTTCCGGCTACCAATTTGCTTCTTGCCCCCTGCAGTATAATACGCTCGTAGAAAACAGATAACTAACTTCTGTTACCTCGTAACGAAGTTGCAGCTACTTGTTCCGCGAGCAGGAGATTTTTATAACGACGGCCACAGTTCAGCCCTCGGTTAAATTTATTACCATCGGTACAGTGCCCATAACGAGATTCTTGCAGACATCCTCGAGCTAAACTTTAAAGCGTTCCTCCGGCTGGAACTTCCATTTGCCCTGTTCGCCGGTTAAGGCGATAGCAGAAACCCAATTTAAAAACACTAAGGAACGGGGATAAAGTCGACAATGAGATCGCTAGAGAGCGGGTATAAGGCCATGTTTTCCAAATTCTATTCCAAGTCGTTTCGTACGAGTCCGCCATTGCCAAGAAGACTCCCATCTCGAGCATATTTGCTACCAAGTGAAACCCCAACGTATCTCTTCTCTTAAAAAAATCCATTCGCGATCGTGTTCCCTTGAACCCAACGAAGACCTATTCCTACGCAATTTTTTAAGGGAACAAATCTTGTTCCAGGCGACAACAAGGCCCAGGAAGAGACGAGGAACGGCGACGTGGTCCAGGGCAGCTACAGCCTGATCGAGCCTGACGGTTCCCGGCGTATCGTCTCCTACGCGGCCGACCCCATTAACGGATTCAACGCCGTCGTGCAGAAGGACCCGTCCGTGACCGTGACAAGAACCGCAGTCAACGCAGCGGTGGCCACTGCGTCCCCGATCCTGCGACCTGCGGCCCAAATCGTGCGGCCTGCTGCCGTGGTTGCACCCTCTGCCCAGTTAGTGGCCGCTCGTCAACCCCTCCTCGCATCCGGCCATGGGCCCATCATCCGTCCGTCGGTAAGTCCACCTCCCTGAAAACTAAATTGAGGATAAAGAAAGGCAAAGGGAGAGTCCATTGGGTCCGTCCTTACAGGCCGTGTACGGATCTCCCTACCTGAGACAGGCTGGCGCCGTGGTGGCCGCTCCATCGGTGGCGTCGTCGAACCTCATCAGTGCGACCAACGGAGGATTTATCGAGGGTGTGCCCTTCGGTCTTGGTGTTGGACTGGGACTTAGGGCTGGATCCCTCTACGGTGCGCAGCCACTCCTGACGACCGGATACGGCTACGGTGCTGGAGGACTCGTCAAGGTCCACTAACCATCTCAGGCAAATAAGTCCCTCTCAACGCCCGACCCATCCCTGCTCGCCTGCCCAAAGGCCGCCATTTGCGACGCCCTGGCCCCCGAGACCCGACCTCAGCAGATCCCTTAACCACCCGAGGTCGAGATCTCGGAAACCCGGTCGCAAAGAGCGGTCCTTGTGCCGCGCGAGTTCATCTCCGGCATCTTCGAGAGTGAATCTCTGAGTCCGAAGGCTCGGCGCCCCCCGGTCTCCTGGACTCGCGCTAAAAACAGAAGGAAAGTTAATCCCACCCTATTGGCATCGAACCAAGGAGGAGTCATCGTTTCTATTTTTCGCTGAACATTGAAATTCCACCCCCGGGTGGAGGGGGTCGCAGCGCGCGGAGTCGCAGCGCGCGGAGTCACAGGGCGCTTCCCCGGATGTCAACGCCGGCCTACCGGAAGCCTCAAGGAATTGATTCTCCGAGAACCTGACTAGGACCCTTTCGACAGAGGTCTCGCGAGGAAAGAGACGCCAAGAGCGAGGTCTACACCCGGGAGTGACCGGCTACCATCATTGGAGGAAGAAATCGTTCGCCATCCGCGAGAGACGAGGCCACCTTCAGGGTCTTCTACGTACTAGTTGGCGTCCATCCGAGACGACTCGTTCGCTTGGATGTTTCTTCCGCTGTTCCAAGATGTCGTCGTTTACCTCCACCTACGACAAAAGATAAGAATGATCGACTAGTAATCGCTCGTCTGAGGCGAAAATCAGCGAGAGCGATCCGCTCGGCGCCATTTTCTCGCGAGAACTGACCCGCTCATCCGGCATACGTATCTATGTTATACATATAATCAAGCCCATACATTAGCAGTAGCATTCTGTGACATGTAATATTTACGCCGCAATGTATTTTCTGGGCGGCAGCTGCTCGCCCGGTTAAACGGAGATGGTGAATTCGGGCCCAGCTGTTGCATCCCACACGATTCTCACATACTGTATCCCGCATTAATTAATACACGTTAATCCACTCGATGTATCCGCACTGAGTGTCTTCTTCCGTTTTCCGGCGTCTCTCCGATGTCCATTTTTTTTTCTCTTTTTTTTTCTTCATCCTCGATACTCGTTGTCGATGTCAATCTTCTATCGTTTCGCATTTCGACAGCCCTCTGCACGATAGATCTAGAACGAGTACCCGCACTCGCAACGAAGTTGCTTTACCTTAAGCCCATACACGCTGCGTACCCTCTGTATAATACAACCCGGATTAATATTTATACATGCCTCAGGAATAAAGAGAAGAGATTTCACGCTAGCGAGATCGTTCCCGTTCGTTCTGCCCGCCTCTATCTGGCCAACGTTTACCTTGGATTTACCTTGAATTTACATTCCACGATGAAAATCGCCGCATTCCCCGAAACGCGCACCGCTCTTCTTCCTTTTTTGTCCCCCCTTTTTACTGGCGCACATTTCGAATGTGGCAATGTTCCGACTGGAGAGCGCTGTTTGCAGAAAGTGGTCGACCACGAGGTCCAACAACTATTTCCACTTCACCCACGGCTTGCGGTCTGTCCATCAGGATTCTGGGCCATGAATTAGTCAAGAATTCTGCACACCTCCTACTACCGGCCTCTGCAGAAAGGAGTTCTTCAATTCCGTCGATTTCAATTGATTTCCTCTCCGCGTGAATCCCTCCCTGAAACAATCGATGACAAAAATGACTATAAAAAAACAGCATCTCGGTACAACGTTAACATAACATTCTACACTTAGAAAAACTTTTTACCATGTACATCTGGCCATATTGACCAGTTTTTATTTTTTAACGTAATAAAACCTAACGCAGGGTTTCATGGCATTCATTATGGCCATCTTTTACATTTCTCGTCCCGTTGGAAACGCACCTCGCCGTTTAGTCTTTTCTCCTCGGTTACCTCCAGTTACCTCGGGCACGTGGCGATATTAACTAAATGCGCACTCGTTGCTTCCTTTGTCGCCATATCTCCTCGTTTTCCTCGCGCCGGGCGTAAACCATACCTAACGCTGTCTATTTCGTTATTGCGAGGAAGAAACTGGCTTAATAATTCATCGAGCGACGCCGCACGGTCCGGGTCGGGTCGTTCTAGCAGCTCATTTACATTTATGAGATAAAAATGGCGCATATTTATCGAGGCACGCTATGATCGTGTTCTACGTCAAAAAAAAAAGGAAGTCGGTAAAACGAGACGGAGCCAAAGTAGAAAATAATTCGGAGATATCGGGGGAAAAAATCATTCTGACAAAGAAGAGCGTCAAAACATTTTAAGTGTTTTCTTAATTTAAAGAATAATTAGTTGACTCGAATGAATTGTCACAATTCCGAAGAGATTTTTCATCCAATTTATTCGAGCTTGAGTCATATAATTATTCTTCCAATTAATACAATATTTCTTTGGTTGAATGGCATTTCCTTTTTCCGGTGCAGTATCCACGGGGTGAATCGACGGCCGCCATCTTGGAATTAAGCGAATCGAAGGCTTCTTAACGCAACAAAGGGGTTTTATCTCCTTTAAGATTGCGCTGCAGGGGCGAACAAAGCCGATCGATCCCTTCGAATTCAGGATAGCTAATTATCGCGTCTCGATAACGCGCGACATCGATTATACCCCCTTCAACCTCGAATTTCCGAGGGGGGTTGCGGAGGTGCGCAACGACCGACGCCATATTGACGGACCCGTAAATCACCAAGTTTCTTCGCGCCTGTTCGGCGACGAAATAAATTACCGAATTACTTTGATTAAAAACGGGGACCCGGTAAGGCGTCGGGATTCGATTCGAAAAGGTCTGGAAGAAAATCAGAAGGCTCTGAAATAAGACGGGGAGAAAGTGGGAGGGAGGAAAATCGAAAAGGCAAGGACTGAAACAAAGGCCCTCCGGTTTCTTCGGTTTCCTCTGGTCCCTCGACACCCCTGGGAACCTCTACAGGGGTTGGGGCTGGTTTTTGCGCAAGGGCCGTCTCTCAAATGACGAATCCGTAAATCGGCAAGTTTCCTCGTTCCTTCGCACCGCTGGAGTCGGGGACGATATAAATTATCGAATTACTTTGATTAAAAGGGGCGGGGACGGCGGGGCGCGATATCGGGAATAAATTCAGAAAAATACGTGATCGCCCGGCGAGCCTGCAAAGCCGAGAGCCCGTCCAGGGGTAGATTTATACCCATCGGTCGAGGCCGAAGTCGATAATGCCCCCCGAAGGGGGTAGGAATTTGATGCCGCGCTCGAGCAACCCCCGAAAACTGTAATTTCGCGTCCGGAGGGTGGAAGGTGTCGAGCCACCCCGGCGATTTCCCCGGAAGGGTTGGCAAAAAGAATCCTCCTCGAGGAGGGATGCAAACTCCTTCCCGGTCCATATGTCCCCTCTTAATTCACCGATGGAAACTTAAGCCGGCTAGGGGAAATTATGTAAAAGCGAAGTAAAAGCGGCTACGGCGAAAAGACCTATGAGGCGGGAAGAGGGAAAACGTGTACCCTCTTAATTATTGAAAAGACCAAGTTCCCCTTCTTAAGGGCTGATCCGAATATCTCGCGAGAGTGCGGATTGCCCCTCTCCCCCGGCGAGGCTTATTAATTAACGGGGCGAATACGAGGTTATCTTTCGAGTCAGCCCTCCTCCCGGTAGAAAAGGGCGGCTACAAGTTCCCAGGAGGTACATTCGAGTTTCCCGATATGAGGAAAAAGAAAAAGTACGCAGTACCCGGGAAACGCGAGAAATTAATTAACTAATCGATCGGAATTCCCGCAAACTTCGGGAAATATTATCGAAACTCCGTAGGGGGGTGGAGTGGAGAATCTGGAGCGCGAATTTGGGCCGCGAATATTCGCGTCCGGCACAATCAGAGACGGATCCCTGTGCCGGTTCGGTAACAAAGCTAATCAACGGGTTTTCGTTTAACGAATAAACGCGAGGAACGAGTTTCCCGTTTCCGTCAGCAGTAAAATGTCGACGCCCGTTAAGAGGGGTGGGTACAACGGCGTCGTCTCAATTATGTCGCTTGTTTGCGAGGTACACCCCTGCCAGGAAGAACGGAATAGATTCCCGGTTGATGGCCAGGGTTCATTATCAAGCATTCCTGGAAATTCCGAGGTATTCCTGGATTCCTCGTGACGTCCACCGATACTCTAGTCTTTGATCGCCATTGGTCATCGGAAACACCCCTGTGCACGTCTATAAAAAAAAAAAACAACGAATTAGATTAAATTGCCAATTCCTTCTCCATCTATATCTCCAGGAAAAGGCATTAACGGGGACGAGAAAACGTAAGACGGTGGCCTACATGTCGAAAGGAACCGTAAATTAGGCTGCACCCCGATAAGTGCTATCTCGATCGACACGCACCTTACAACATGACGCACCTCCTGGGATTTCTACTGTACTACGGATCCTCGCCAACTTCAACCCCCAAGATCGAAGTTTAGCCACAGGTTGGCACGTTTCGAACTTTCAAACGAGTTGAAAGAAAAGCGAGGCGAAACCGCCCCATCGGATGCCCGACAGCCAATCTCCTCAAGAATGTTAATATCGTAAATATTGAGTTTGCACCTTCGATCGAAGGAGGTGGAGGTATTAAAAAATCGAAGAAGAGCTCCAAGGATAGCCTCTAAATCGTGAGGGTGGATATAACCCCGTTTAAGGGAAACGAGCTCGCGACGTAATTTCTCGAGGCGGGGGTTAAAAAAGTAAATAATTAAGCCCGACCAACGGGGAGGATCTCGGGAAATTGAGCGTTCAACTTGGCGAGCATGAGTGTACTTTTATGTCGGCTAAGCTCGTTATTTAGGGGCGGTCGTTTAAATTCTTGACATTAAAATAGATAGCCCGAGCGAGCGCGCTCGCCTCGGTGTTACCACCGGGTAGAAAAACGAATCGAACTCGGACCGAGGAGTTCCGCAGCCGATCTCATTTAAATATAATCTGCGCGAAAATAAACGCCAGACTCTTTTCCCCGATGCATAATCATTAAGAGGAACGCAGACGGTTAAATGTAAATCCGGGGAAAAAGGAAGGGATCGACGGAACCGACGGTGGGCCGTGTTCACTCTCTCTCCCTCTATTTTCTAATACCACCTCGGGGTCGTTTTCGGTGAAATGCAAATTCGTACGAGTAGATCCAAAATTTACACGGTGGGTTTTTTTACCCGGTCAGTGCGAGGCGAAGGGCGAT